AGAACACATTAATTTACAATTCAGTAAATGTGGGGTGTAAAAAGAAATCTCCCCCATATCAGTAACAATCTAAAAAGATCAGTATTGTGAATACTTCTATAAAGTCACAACTACTCGATCAGATAATGGTCGGTACGATGTACGACTACCAATAAATTTACAATGTTCCAACACTCCATGAATTGGCAGAAAAAAACAAAGTCAGAGTTCCTTCTGATAACCCCAGTGTTAAAAACACCAATATAAATAACTCAACCAAATCATCCAAATATATTACTAAATATTCAAAAAGAAAATTTGTTTTACACTAATTTCACTAAGATTTTCGAGCAGAAGACTTTTCAACAAAGCCCGCAAAAGTGGCTCTAGTGACGACTGGGCGTTGTACAAGGCCGGACTGGCCATTTACAAGTCCGAGTTGAAGAAAGCCAAAAGGGCTTCGTGGAGATCCTTCTGCGGTAGTGTAGAGGGCTCCCATGAGTCCTCACTATTCAGGCGCATTTTTGCAAAAAATTCTACTCTGCTGAAAAAGTGCCACTGGGGGAGCTGCAGGAGCGCTGTACAGCCTTCCTGGACCTTCTGGACGATCGTCACCTTACCTGGGCGTTGAAATCCTTCATACCCTTTCAGTCCCCGGGGCCCGATGGCATTATTCCAGCGCAACTACAACGTACAGTTAAGATGTCATGCAGCTGGCTGGCCCCCATCTACACGAACTGTGTTAGGGGGCCATGTCCCGAAGGTCTGGAGACAGGTTAAGGTTACTTTTATTCCGAAGGCCGTCAAAAGCTCTCACGTCGGCGCAAAAGATTTCAAACCCATCAGCCTATCCTCGTTTCTGTTGAAAACATTGTAGAGGCTTATAGATCTGTACATTAGGAGCAGAATACCGAGGGGTAAACTGTTACGGGCGCAGCATGTCTACTTATATCAAAGGGAGATCGGTCTACACTGCTTTGCATGATGAAGTGTCATGGCTGGAGATAGCTCTCAAGCACAAGGAATTTGCTGTGGGCACCTTTCTCGACATCGAGGGGGCCTTCAATAACGTGCCACCAGAGGCAGTGGTTAAAGCCATCGAAAAGTTTGAGGTGGAATCGAACCTCAAGCACCTTATTTTTAGTCTTCTTTGTGACAGAACTGTCGCAGCGGAGTGGGGTGGCGCCAAGACAACCCGAAAAGTGAATAGGGGAACTCCGAAGGGGGGAGTACTCTCCCCACTGCTCTGGATATTGGTGGTAAACGACCTACTTATAGAACTCGAGGCACTAGGCTGTCGGGTGACAGCCTATGCTGATGATGTGGTTCTTATGGTTAAGGGGAAGTGCCTGAATACCGTCTACGAGCTCACCGAGAGGCACCTGAACGTGGTATCTAGCTGGGCGAATAGAAGCGGCCTAGCCGTCAACCCAAGTAAAACCGAAATGGTTTTATTTACTAGGAGGTATCCCAAATGTGCCTCTCCCCTCCTTCGGGGGTTCACTTCTTCAACCTGTTGATAATGTGAAATACCTAGGGCTTATCCTCGATAGAAAACTTTCCTGGAGGCCAAACATTGAGGAGAGAGTTAAGAACAAGGACATTCCGAAATTTTTTCCTCCTTCAGCTGCATTCCGGAATATTTAGATCACTGCGTCACTGAGGCCACTCGAGGCGGCTCCTTCTCCGCTCATATTCCAACGAGTGACATGTGGATGGGAAGAAGCCGCTGGAGAAGAAGCACGGTGAGCTTTTTCACGGATGGATCGTGGCTAGGGGGGAAGGTTGGAGGGGGGTTTTCTGCAAGGAGCTCTCCGTCAATCTTAGCTTCAGGCTACCGGACCACTGTTGTGTTTTTCAGGCGGAAATGACTGCTATCAAGGTGGCGGTAGAAGTACTGCTGCGTAGTACAGTCTCGTTTGTAGAAGTGAGCATCCACTCCGATAGTAGGGCGATAATACTAGCTTTGAGCGCGCGAACCGTGCAATCAAAGCTTGTCAAGGAGTGTCTGTCCTCACTGCCTGGTCACAGCGGAATCGCTGGAAACTGCAAAGCCGATGAGCTAGCCAGGGGGGGCACTCTTACCCCGCTCACATCGAAATGGGATCGAGTTGGATCTCCGTTAACGTTTTGCGTTTTAGCTTTGGATCAATGGACCTCGCGTATACTCAGCAGACGCTGGTCGACGACCACCTCCTGTGCGACCGCGAGATCCTTCTGGTCAAGAGTGGAGCGCAGGAGGTCGGGGGAACTTCTCGCCCTGAGCAAAGTGCATCTCGCCGCTATGCTAGGAGTTCTCACTGGACACTGTCCAATGGGCCCTCATGCGGTACGGCTTAGAGTACTACCCGATGCTAGTTGCCAAAGTTGCATGGAGGAGGGCGAGGTGGAATCATCCCGGCACTTTCTCCTCCAATGTCCGGCTTTCGCTAGGCTGAGATTGAAATATCTCGGCAATCACATTTGGCGGACCTGAATACTTAGCCGAAATGGATATTGGCCGTCTTAACAAGTTTGTTGTAAGCACAAAGCGTTTCGTCGACTTGTAAGGGTCTTTCGATCCAGATTATAGGAGTTTTGTAGGTATCACAACGGACCGGCGTCTTAAGCTGTTCAAGTGGAATCCTTCTTAGGATCGACCTCCTAACCTAACCTAATCTAACCTAATTTCACTAATTAATTTGAAAAGAGCAGTACAACATAAAAATAATGGGGATCCAATGGAATGCGATATCTGACTAGTTTTCATATCCTACTGAGTAAACATCCGCATTATCCGCAATAATAATTTCGACCCCGCAGGATGGCTCTTGCCAATAATGATACACAAATCCTACATCAAAATTCGTGTGCTATGTAGCGCGCTACTACTTGCCAAATTAGTGCATACGCACTTAACATATAATTATAAAACAATTCAAAACTAAAGTTAAGGGTTCACCATACTCCCAATGTGATACAGCGACGCACCTAGACTTACAAGCAAAGGTCGCATTTATCAGCCCTAACGCCAGAGCATGTTTTCAAAGGAGCACCCATTCTGGCTATATCTAAGTCAGACGTGGAATCGCTAACCTTAATAAGCCGACGGTAAAGAAATTTTAAATAAACGATACAAATAATAAACTTATAAAAGAAACAACCACAAAATACAATGCAATAAATACGAAAAGCAACTACAACCTCATAAACCCGCGCAATAAAATTGCTTACCGTAAAGCACTTACATGCGCATCAAAATGCATAAAAAATATATTTTAAAAATCAAAGTTGCTTTATACACTACAGGTCAATATGAACTAGGCAAAATATTCGCCTAGGGGGCCCAGGATGTTTAAATGAGCTAAGTACCACCACTACCTCCGGTAACAACTGGCGCACCCTAATGCAACACACCACACTTGAGAACATTCACAGGTTCTCACCACCCGATGAAATCACACCACACAGGACAACACAACATACCATCAACATTCGCTTTTCGTTTACGGGCCTGAGCGCCACATCAATTTTCGCTTATACATTCCTTTCAATACGAACGCGATCCAGCGCGCTACAATCATTCGCTAAAACCAATTCGATGCGTCAACTTTTTATTGGATCCACATATGACTTTTTTTTTTTGGACAACAACATTCTGCCCGCGCCGACTCTACATTTAGCGGTCCGAATATACATATATAAACTTATATATAAGGAATTTTACTGTGCAAAACTTAATAATAAAATTTGTATATTAAACTAAATTGCGAATTTTAATTACTTACATTTGTACAAGTGGTGAGTGCTGCTAAAGTGGGCTGTGTTCCCTAATATATTAATTACAAATTTGTTCACATATAAAAAACATACGCATGGGTATACCTGGTTGGACGTTCTTGCGGTGGTTATGTGATCATGAGTATTATGCCGCGGAAATAAGTAAATAGAATTAGTTGGGCTCTAAGATGGCATGCTGGTTAGTTGCGATATTAACAGAAACGGAGGATGCGGTTTAAGAGTCATCAAATTCTTTGAAGTTCCTGTGGTTGTGGCGAAACGACATCGCCTCATAAAAATGTTTGTCCCTCATCATGCAAGGGCATCAGTCTGTTCACAATAGGCGAGGCGACTTATTGAAGCGAAAAAAATAGGATGGGTTGAATGTCAAATCAGGGAGGGGCCGAATCTTAAAAAGTGCTTCAGGTGCTTGGAATATGGACGTCTGGTGAGAACCTGAAGCAACGCGGACGATAAGAGTCATCGCTGTCTCAAATATGAGAATAAAGGGCATCTCACGAAGTCATGCAACAATAAATCTGGCGGTGTATATAAAATATAGAAAGAACTCAAACAAATATGCAGCAAGAAATGTTCTTTCTACCAAAAAGCGTGCAAAAGGGCCAAATTTTAGCGAGCCTTACAGCCAAACCTCAAGCACTGTAAAGCAGCACAATATCTGCTTACGCGTAATATGTTTGGTCGCACTGAGCTAGTAAGTTCAGAATAACGAACGTTTCAAACCATTTCGTTTTTTAACTTTGCTATATTAACAATTATGCAGCTTTCTCAATGTTTACAAAATTAAGAAGAGCGCATGATCGAGAGTGCTGGTATACTAGACTAGACTATTTTTAGATGATATGCAGCCTAGCTCCAGTTCAGCATCTCTTCCATCTTCATTTACCTCTGAGAACGACTAGTACACTGTCTCTAAATATTTCGTCCATATATTTGTTTGTCGGCAGCAAAGTATGAATTTTTTGTTCCAAAGCTATCACGGTTGTAGAAAAATTCGAATGTAAAAAATTTTCATAAATTTGGCAACAAAAAAAACCTTGTTTTTTGACAAGAGAGCAACGCCTAAAGGTAGCAGCAGAGAAATGACTAATACACAAATATAATCAACAACTTTGCGTTATTAGTTCTAGATTGAAAGGTTTATTTATGTATATCATCTTAAATTTAGAAATTTTGTAAATTAAAAATAACAAATATGGACTATAAATATTTTTAGATGCCTAAGGTTCTAAATATCTGCATTTATAATGAGCTTTTAATTGAATGTTGAAATTACATACATTTTATTTCACAAATACATATATACATACACTTTATTTTATATACAATGACGTTCAACAATTATTAAATATTTACATTCCAAAAAATAAAATGAGTACTACATTTTGTAATAAATTCACAATGTACTGGCTTCGGTATTTGGAATGTTATTAAGCCCAACGTCTGGATTACTCCAATAATAGTTAGGTGGTCCTTGACTGAAGCAATATTTCATATTAAGAGGTTCATCGTTCTCAACATAATACATCAAATAAAAATTACACATTTCATCCTCATTTGTAGCTCTAAAATAGGAAATTATTACAACAGTATTACGTAAAAATTTATTTGTCTTTTTACCCAATTTCTGTAATTCTGTTCCGATGGCTTATCATTGTACACCTTGCAGCAAGAAAATCACCGACTATTATAGGATCGCTATTTTCAACTGGGTAAAACATTTGTGGTGTTAAGGGATCCCTTTTACCTAAGAGTGTCCACTGATGGCTACCATGTTCGTCAGTCCGGACTCTATACCCAGATACCACTTTTCCAAGGCTATGTGTGTGAGTACGATAAGCTATTGGGTGTATTGTTTTATTTTCATTTATTTCACAAGCTGTCTCCATTTGCTCAATTGAATTTGGTGGAATAAGTCCTGCTGTCCCCAGAAGCAAAACTCCGGCCAACTTTTTCAAACTGTAGAACAAATACACATATATTTACAAACATTATTCTAATACATACCTACCAAGTATGATTATTAAATTTTAACATATTTAAATGATAACTTGAATTAAAGCAAAAGATAAAAAACAAAAAAAAAAATTATGAATATCATACTAAACAAAATACTTCTTTGTCTATTTCTTTTTTTAAACAAAGAAACAGTTATCGCAATAAGTTACATGTAAGCATAATAGTTTTGTTAACATAACAATTTTTTGTAACACCTAAGACTAATTGAGAAAGATATTATTCTTAGTATTGCCATAAACTTTGTTACAAACTTAATAATGCATAAAGCGAAGACGAATTCACAGAAAATAGTGTCGTAACTTCTATACTCTCGCAAGGTGTTGCTACAGAGTATAATAGTTTTATTCACCTAACGGTTGTTTGTATCACCTAAAACGAAACGATATAAATATGGAGTTTTATATATACAAAAATGTCAAGATGACAAGTCGAGTTGAAATCCAGACTGTGTCTGTTCGTCCGTCCATGCAAGCTGTAACTCTAGTGAATATTAAAGATATAGTGATGAAACTTAGTACACATACACATGTATTCCTTGTCACCATAAGAAGTTCGGTATTGTACAATCTGTCCAAAGTCATTCCCACAAAACGCCATTAATCGAACTCCTAAAAAGGGCCATAGCTAAGCCGAAAATTTAGATACAAAAATGTTATTTGGTACAACGAATCGTATTAGGGAGGGATACTGGTGTTTTGAAAATATTTAAAAACTGTGCAGAATCCCGCCCTCGTAATAGGTTTAATGTATATATATCCTAAGCTACTTAAGCTAAATCAACCAAATTTGCACAGGACAAATCCTTTTAACACCTCCTTTTGAGTCAATTTCGCTTTTTATATTTACCGTAATTTACGATATTATGAGTGACCACGTGTTTAAGCTGCTTAATGGTTTCAAGTAAGTTAAGCTATAAGTTATCAATTTTGTGAAAATACGTAATTCCATTCGACTTTTATATTCAGAATGGGTCGTGTAGTGCACTGTACACAACTGTAGAACAAAATATTACCAAAAAAAATTAAAAGCTAAGGAAAAGATAACGGAAATTGGTGAATTAATGCAATGCTCTGTTAAAAGTGTTTTTTGCAGTTCACTTTTACAGTTCCACATCCCAACAGTTCCATGACATTTCGATTCGTACATAACAAAAATAATATATCTTTTCATCAACGGACCTCAAGAACACCTTACAGGCATCTGTTTCCAGTCGAACAATTCGAAATATACTAATTGAAACGTATTTAAATACACGTTCAGCTATTAAAAAAAAAACAATTGGAGGCTTTAAACCAAAAATAACGAAGAACTTTGGGAAAATTTATAATCCAATTGGTAGGCCATTGATCCCTCAACTTGTGCCAATCTGGGTCATTCAAGGCCTCGTCGGAACTTTACATGTATTTATATGTCTTTTAAAGAGAAAATTTCAAAAAAAAAAATTAGTGTTACTTTTAAGCGTTTTGTTTCTATCATTTTTTCCAAGCGCAAAAAATTAATTATTTTTATTTACAGAAAATTAAAAAAAATACTTTATTCCTAATAATGATATATGTATACTCATATCTATGTTTAAAAAATTTAAGAAATACTGATTTTCTTTTTCTAAACACTGTATATGAGGCCAAACAGTACTCACGGTCTTAATGTGTAATCAATGAAGACGCCAGAATCGTCAGTGCTGCCATCTGGAAAATATAGAAAAACATATCAGAACTTAAAGCAAGGTCGCCAAATGACATTTTAACTTGCGATTTGATAACATTATATTATTTGGCTGATTTCGTTCATTGGAAAATTTTTCTGTGTTAATATAAATATGTAGTTTAGTAGGGATATGTAAAAATATTATGAAAATAATTTATAAAAATGACATGTAACATCGTCAAACGTAAAAAAATTCAAGTTAAATTTGATATACTGATTTCGTCGTTGTGCTTGGGCACAAATTTCTTCAAATGTTTTTATATCTATTTTCATTTAAACCAAAAGAAAGAGAAGAAATGAAAGAAATATGTATGTACATAAATATATATTTTTTATTCTCTCGCAACGTATTGTATAAAGTATAATAGTCGTATTCATATATGCCTTGTTTTAGATGTGAGATGACATACCTTAAAGGCATAAGTGTTTAGTTATATGGAAAATAAAATTGTAACACATGGCAAATGGGATCGGATAGGAGATCTGGTACTAATGACTGCAGACTTCGTGTTCGTAATATATTTATATTTCCATGCAATCCATTCATTTACCAAATATTTTCGTGTTACATTTATATCTAAACTATAATGCAAGCTAGAGTCAGCAAAAAAAGTTTACGTACAAGGTGCTTTTGTGAAGAATCTCAATCAAATCTATCCTTTCTTACATACTTGTATAAAAAACGCAATTTGATTATATTACATGTTGATCAGACATATGGGATATTCACAGTGGCTAGATGAGTTACGCCTCCCCCCTCCATACGCGCCACTGAGCGCCAACACACCACATCAACACGATCCACAAGAAGACTCCACCCACTAACACACACAAACACACACCACCCCTGCAGACAACACACCACGCAGACATCACTACACCATGCACCAACACGTACACAAATACAACACCAAATCGATCACACGACCATGAAGCCATCACAATGTATAAAAGGGACCAACGAAGGCTCCCGTACTCTTCTTTTAGCATTCGACTCGCAAGCGATTTGACCTTTTTTCGAGCATCCGCCTAAACCAACTCTTCCTTTCGTTACTACAAAAAATAGTTTTGCCAAGTTTTGCCAAGGTGAGTGAAGTCAAAATTAATTTATTAATTACATAATTATGGTCCTTCGAGCCCTAGTGGACGGCACTATGGGAAATTAAACATAAAAAGAAAAAAAAGGTGCAGTGACAAAGGTGCGGTGCCAAGAAGTGAACAAACAAAAAAAATATATATAAAAAAAAAAATATAAAAAAAAAAAATTCAAATGTGAACATAAGCGAAGTGCAGTGTACCATATAAAAAGAAATATTTGTACATATATATACATACATACATACATATGTATAAATAGATTAGTGAAGTTGAGTGACCGAACATATGTTCGTACATATACACATATGAAAAAAAGTGGAAATGAGGCAAAACATATTAACTGTGCTACAAAAACATAAAAACAAAAATTACTTCAACACAAAAACAAACGGGCGCGAAACCAAAAAATAAAAAAAACTAAACGCGGCGCGAAACCCGAAAATATACAAGAAAAAAATATTAATCAAAAACGGGCGCGAGACTAAAACAAAATATATGGCAGCCAACAACAACAAAACACAGAAAGAGAGCTGCACAACAGGCATCAGGACAGCTGGCGTGAAGGAAGTTGGGAAAAAAGGAACCAACAAAAAAAACAAAACAAAAACCTCAAAAAGAAAACCACATTCTCCCCAAAACCCCCTTGAGGCGAGACAAAGTGAGTGTATCGTTTTTATTTTTCTTATTAATTATATATGTATGTTTGTAAATCCTGTATACCATTAAAACTAGGGAAATCCGTTTTAACAGTTTGAAAGCACGGGTACAGGACACGTTAACGGAAAATATATTCCAAAGTACCCCTTAGGCTTAATATAGCAATAAGCAGGACGACAAGTAAGCTAAAGGCACAATAACAATTACAACTAGAATCCACAGCGAAAAGACAAAAATACAAACATACATATATATACTTTCAATTGGCAAACAATATGCAAATTGCATTTACCGATAAATCTTATAACTAAGCATTCTCTTATATTTTTACATATACATTATATCAGAATATATTAACATTAGCGCAGTCGGTAAAATACCTGCGTAATAGAATTTTTATTTTTCTCCACACTCTTCTCTCACGCCGAAAAATATTACGCGTGCACAGTCACATACATACACACTTGTATATACGGCATACGATCTGCCTACGCTCACATACCCCATATACAGTGGGTACAAATACATATTTTTAATTCATTTAATTATTTAAATATCGATTATTTTAAAACTGATTAAACAGTGCGGTTAAATAGCAACAAATAATTAATAATTAAAAAAAAAAAAAAATTTTTTGGTAAAAGAAAACTAAACACAATAATATAAAAAATTCTCAACTAAAAATTGCTTCAAAGTCCATTTTGGCAAATATCCCGCAATACCCCTTGTTCTTTGGCAAACAAACACAAGCAGGATTGCGCACAATCATTTCAGCACAATAATTCGTGTATACCTAGGTACAAAGTGCATTGATCTCTTCAACGAGCTCTCAATTGCTCAAGTACATAAATATATATCTACAAGTCCACGCATTAGGGTGTACCTACATACCCCTACATAAGGACATAAAAACATAAAATAAATACAATAAATTAAAAACAAATACGACCAGTAATTATAAAAAACTAAATCCTCGTATTTAAGAAACATAATTCGAATTAAAAACTCTTATTAACTAAAATAGTTTGCGGTTATACACATATACGAAAGTTAAAATTAATTTTTTCGAAAAAAAAAACACTCTATTTACTTAAAAGAGTTTCGTTACATACAAGCATATAGCATGAATTCCATCGGTCGACACTGAGGAATTTTAAATTTATTTCCCTATTTTCTAAATGAGCTCAGATTCAAAAGAATCCAAAGCAACACAGTCTCTAAACGTACCTAAAATGATTTCTGAAGAAAAGAGTCCATGTACACCGGCAGAAGCTACACGCTCAAAACAAGGTGCTACAAAACAAAAACGGGTGAAAGATATTTCATACACCAAATTTATCTCTGAGAGTAACAGTATAATACGATACTGCACTCGATTTTCATCTTCGCCGATTCAGGACAATTCTGATTAGGTATTAGAAATTAAAAAAGACAATCTTGATAATTTTTGGACACGTCTCCAAGCTGCATATGACGCAATCGTAGAACTGACGACTCAGATCTACCGGAAAATTTCAAATTCGGCTTACGCCAAATACGAAAACTGCTTAGACCAGTTCGAAGAAACAAAAGCAATGATTTCTGATCAATATTAATCAAAGCATGCACCTACTCCACAGCCAAGACTAGAGCTGCCACAAATCCAAAGTCATGAAGCAAGTTCAGGCATCCATCTCGTCGCCCACATGTGATACAGAAATCTTTCATGGTGGTTTGAACAATGGCCGTCCTTCCGGGACATGTTTACAGCCGTTTACATAAACCACCCAAAATTAACAATGCGCAAAATTGTATCACCTCCGATACAAAACAAAAGGTCAAGCAGGCGTAATAGTAAACAGTTCGCACTAAATGACGATATTTCAATTTGGCTTGGGAAGCTCTTTAAATCAAGATTCGAAAACGAAAGAATATTGGTCGATAAACAAATATCGATATTAATGAACTTGCAAAATTCAAAAGGAAACAAGTGAAGAATTTATCAAACTTCAATCCACTGTTTCAAATTGTTTGTCGGTTTATCGACACAAAATATTCCCACAGACAGCTGGGACCCCATACTGGTAAACATATGCACTGCCGCATTACTTCTATGGGAGCAATCACTCATCACGAAGAAAATGCCCATCGGCAACAAATGAAAGATCCTAACTACCCAGTCAAATTGGAAAAGGGTAGACAAAAATAGTCAGAACGAAAAGCGTTCAACACTACGTAAATAGAAGCTCACAGACCCCAAGCCAGTAGCAACAACAATTTAAATAGAAGCTTCTTCAGAAATCAAACGTTCACATCCGAACATACAAACAAACGTCATGCGAACTGTGTACAGGGGGCATAAGCTCAAATCTTGCGAGAAATTCAAAAATGAATATTACCGATCGAAACAATTATGTACGAACAAAAGGCTTTGTACAAATTGCCTATCACATGCACATACACTTAAAGAGTGCGAAAGATTTAATTGCGTTTATTGTCATAAACGACATCATTCAATGCTGCATTACAGCACATTTACCAGCTCATCCCCAAACAGCGCAAATATGAAAAGAGCCACGGTTGCAACAGCAAATCCCAAAGTGTGAAATCCGAAAATTGCCAAGAAGACCATGCTGCTCAAAGGCATTAAAACCCAAACGCTACACAGCGAAAATCAAAGTAGAGTAATCTACCACGCAGTCGTCTCCATCGAACACCGAGGAGAACTGTTTAAACTTAGGGCCTTATAGACCAAGGATCACAACGATCCTTCCAGCCTAGGGCTCAAAATAGGCTACAACTGCCAACAAAACTAGCCAAAATTGAAATCACGGGAATGGGCGGAAGAGTAGTCAAAACTCAAATAAAATCTGCCCCATTACCCATTCCAAGCGGATAAGCTCATACAAGCAGAAGCTATAGTTCACCGCAACTTACAAATATGCTCCCCATCACATAAATAGCAAGCATTGGCAAAGGTTTCATACCTAACGCTAGCAGATCCCAACTGCAACACTCCGCTCAAATAGACCTTCTATTAGGCAGCGATCTCATACCACAGATAATACTCGAAGGTATTGAGAAAATTTCAAATACACCTCCGGCACAAAATACTATTTTAGGGTGGATCCTAAGTGGACTAGTTTCGTGAACCAGTTACCACCATGACCACTCAGGTTGAGGAAATCTCAAACGAATACCTCAATTCAGAATAAATAAAATTTGGGATAGAAGAACTCCTCCATATCAATCAACAACCCTGAAGATCAGTATTGTGAAGACTTTTACAAAGCCACAACTA